GATAACTGCTGTTCTACCATCTTCTAAGATCCTCTTGTAAATAGAAACATACAGTATTTGTCTTTTTGTATCTGATTTATCACACTTGAAATAATGTTTTCTAGTGTCATTCATCTTGCAGTATGTATTGGACTCCATTCCTTTTTATGGTAAAATGATATTCTATAGTATGTATATATCACATTCTGTTTATTCACTTATCTGTTAATGGATACTTGAGTTGTTTCCACATTTGGGCAGTTGTAAATAATGCTGCTAAGGATATTCATAAGTATCTGTATTTCTGCCTTTTTTTTTAATTGCCATAGGACATGTGTGCTTAATTGAGAGAGAGGAGAGGGAAAGAAGAAACCTCTCAGGGAAACTCCCAATAGGACATGGTTATGCCATAATACCTTTTCCTCTATTTCTTCATCCCATCACGATTTGGGACATGCATGTACATGCACCTGATATGTTTTTCAAGCTGCCAGGGCTGGAATTTGAACCACAGTCAGTCATGTGGGATCTGGGTCTATATGCACAGGGCTTAAACACTGCTACGAGGCCAGCTCTGTATTCCTCCTTTCAAGTCTTTTGTGTATATACCTGGAATTGAGCTGCTGGATCATATATGGAGTCATTCTATGTGTAACCGTTTGAGAAGCCATGAAACTGTTTTCCACAGCGGATACATCATTTTACATTCCCACTGGCAGTGGACAAGGGTTCTGATTTCCCCACATTCACATTAACACTTGTTATTTTCTGTTTTATAATTGTCATCCTAGTGCATGTGAAGTAGTTCCTCATGCATCCAGGTATTAGTTCTTTATTTTCTTTTTTATATTCAATCACTATATATCATTACATGACAGCTTGAAAAATGAATTTTCCCAGCTTGAATATACTGTATATTAGTTCAGTTAAATATATTACCATCCATAGATAATTTATCATGTTTGTGCACCTTAAATGTCTTGCTTCTTTCTTTTCCCTCTTGATTCCATTCTCCTTATTTTCCCCCATTTCCCACCCTCCTCCCACACTATCTCTAGTATCCACACTTGTTCTGTATGCTTCTGTATCTTTCAGTCTTTCAGTTTCTACTGAAGAGTGCAGACATTCAGTGTATATTAAGTGGGGACATGTAATGCCTTTCTTTCATGGTCTGGCTTGCATCGCTCAGCAGGTATTCTTAAAATTCACTTTCTATCAGATTCTAGAGTCTCCTTTTTTATGGCTGAGTAATATTCACAGTATATATTTGCCACACTTTTTTGATCCACTCATTTGTGGACATTTGGGTTGGTTCCATGCCTTAACAATTATGGCAAATACCACAATAAACATGGATATGAAAATACTTTTCTCATTGAGTGCATTCCTATCCTTTGAGTGGTACTCAGGAGTGGAATTGCTGGCTCATATGGTGGTTCTATTTGAAGGCCTTTGAGGAACCTCCATATTGTTCTCCACAGTGGCTATACTCATTTACATCCCCACCAACAGACTAGGAGAGTTCCCTTTTCACCACATCCAGGTTCTTAAATGCTCCCTATGCCAAGGAGTTCAAAGTAATACCAGAAAAACAATGTAGATCCTCTTAAATTATTAAAAGGTTTTTATTATCCATTACTAAATTTTGTCTCCCTCTACTATGTTTCTCAACCCTGGTTATTATACACTGAAATCACTTGGGAGCTTTTAAAAATTCTTATATTAAGGCTGCAACTCAGACCAATTAAATCAGCATTTCTGGGGGTGGAACCTCAACTTTAGCATTTCTAAGGCTCCCCAGGTGATTTCAATATGTGAGTAAGGGTGCAAACTGCTGCTTAACTCAGTGAGTCTACTTGGTCCCACAAATTGTGCAACATAAGAAGTAAAACCTTGGAATCAGGGAAAAGAAAAGCAAAACGTTCAATGGACACAAAAATGAAAATTCATCTGTCGATGACAATGTGTATGATATCTCTGGCTGGACTAACATACTGTGTATTCACGCTGGGAAAATTTATTTTCTATGTTGTAAAGATACAGAGTGATCGGGACCAGCAATTAGAGTAATGGCTATGTCGCTGGACTCTCATGTAGTCGACTGTGGTTTGAGTCCCAGACCCGGTGACTTAAACTCATGCCAGGCATGTGTGCGTGCATGCCCAGTGATTGAATGTAAGAAAATAAGAAAAAATTCAATTAAAAATGAAAAAGATGTAGTAACCTTAGCACTGAGCCTTCTCTAACAACCACTCTTCAATAGCCAACCTCTCACTAGAATATATACCAGCTGACATCTTGCCTATTTTCATCTGTACCTATTTATTGTCTGCTCTCCGTTTTACTTGTTGGTATTTTTCTAGGACATCTGACAATGCTTAATACAGAGTAGGTGCTTAGAAAATGTTGTCGATTGAAAATTGCATAAATCCACTCTCATTTCAAATGGCAGCCCTTTAGATAGTTAAAAATAGCCTTTGTACTTCCCTCAGCACTGGGCTGTCTCTGCTCTTGTAAGTAAAATCTGTACTTTCAACTAGTTTTCAAAAAGTCATTGAAGAATAAATCTCACCATTATAAACACAATCAATCTTTTTTTATTATTCAATCAGCAAATAATCAAGCTCTTACATGTATTACAATACGAGGGACTTCAAAAAGTTTGTGGAAAAATGAATTAAAGTACGAGTTTTTTTGCAACATTTGAAAACCATGCGTAGTTTTTTTTTTTTAATAATATACACTTTCCACAAACTTTTTGAAGCCCCATAGTATACCTATATATTACACATACTATAGACCAGACATTCTGCCAGGCTCTGGGAAGAGTGGTGAAAAAGATAACCATTCTGAGAGGGTGAGGTACAGGAAATAATTAATAACAGAAGCCATTTCAGATCATGATAAATGCTGAAAAGATAATGAAAAATGTTTCTTGGCTTGGATATTCAATTAGATTGAATTTAATCTGAGACTTGAGTGACAAGAAACCAGACACTGAAGGAGCATTCCAGAAAGAAGGCATATAAAAGCCCTGGGGGTGAGCACATTTCAGAAAGTTTCTGAGAAGGGCAAGGAAAAGACTTCTATCACTCTACCTCAATTAGCATGCCAAGTCGAAATTAGCTTTTGGTGGCCACATCACCTTGTTGAGGTTTTCTCTTGTTGAATGAAATCCTCCCTGTCCAGCGCTGTTGGTAGTGGAAACGTTAAGTATGAATATGCCTAGAATTTCTTCTCATCTGAGCCCGAGCCATAAACATGTCAATCAATAAATCAATCTATAAAAACACTTCTCAGCAGAGTGGAGGGACTCTCATGTTCTAAACCCCTGCAGAAATGATTCTTTATTCCGACTGGCACTTGGTCTTCAGTGCCAGACTCATAGAAGAAGTCGCAGACAAAGCCTAGACTTGGCAGGCTGCTGCCCTTTGGGGCTGGTGGTCATCTTGATTTTCCATTAAAGTTGCTCTGTAAAGACAGATAATTCTTGATCCTGGGCCCCTGTGTTCTTGGAGTGAGCTCCCTGAATGAGCAGCAGACTTTCTCAGCAGCTACTAGCATGTGGTAACAATTCAGCTCCCCTTTCTGGGCCCCGGTTTTCCCAGTTGACACGTGGAGTGTGGGTTTGGGAATTCTAAGATCCTTTGAAATTTCATTTAAAAGAATATTTTATTGCAGTATAAAAATTTAAAACTTTTCCATAGCTTCTGAATAACAGTAGATGTTTTTGTTCATTTTTTAGAGATTTTTGCTATAGGGTATGTGTGCTAATTAGAGAGACAGAGAGACAGGAGCCATCTGCTGGTCCCAACAGTAGATATTTTGCTTTCATCAATAAGAATCACTCACGGGACCAGCAGTTAGCATAATGGCTGTGTCGCTGAATTCCTATGTAGTTGACCGCAGTTAGAGTCCCGGACTCGGTGGCTTAAACTCACGCTGAGTGCGTGTGCATGTGTGCCCAAGATCCCAAGAGGAGAATGGAGGAGAAGAGATTGCTGCATGGCCATCCCCCTTGGGGGTGATTTCTCGCTGTCTCTCTGTCTCTCTCTGGCTTTCTGGCGAGCACACACACTCTATAGCAAAAACCTCTCCAAAAGAAAAGTCATGAGTCATTCACTTCTAAGTTAGAAAACAAAATTCTGAGTTTAAACTGGGAAGGCAACACTTGTATGGTCAAATCAAATTCAAAAGTTTACAATAACAAGAATTTGAACTGTGAAATAAAAGGACCTATGTCTATAGAAATGTAGTTCAGGCCAGTGAAAAGAGTTCCTGATTAGCAGCCATCTTTCCAATGACTTCAAGGATCTCTGATCAGTCTGTCCTACGAAATGATTAAAGGAAAATTTCCCAGCCATGGTCTTCTCTTCCAGAGGCAGCCCACCTATAGCTTGAGTTGGAGTGGGATACTGAAAACGAGGTGGCCCTTGAATTTGTGCTTACCCTGTTCAGATTACTGTCATTCATTCATCCAGCACCATGTTTTCTTCATCTGATACATGTGAATGACACATCAAAAATAAATCAGTGAAGGGAACCAGCAGTTAGCGTAATGGCTATGTCGCTGGACCCCCACGTAGTCGACCGCGGTTCGTGTCCCGGACCCGGTAGCTTAAAACTCACGCCGGGCGCGTGTGCGTGCGTGCCCAAGATCCCGAGAGGAGAATGGAGGAGAAGGGATTGCGGCGTGACCATCCCCCCTGGGGGGTGATTTCTCGCTTTCTGTCTCTATGTCTCTCTCTGTCTGTCTGGCAAGCGCACGTGCCCTACAGTGAAAATCTCTCCAAAAAAAAAAAAAAAAAATCAGTGAATAAAACAGCCATGCTCTGTGCCTTGTGGAACTTACATCTAGTTAGGGAGGTGGGCAAAGCAGGTGTCAACCAAGTAAGTACCTTTCTGAGTACAAACTGAGGTAAGTGACCTGAAGGAAAGCCACCGTTTTCTGATGTAGAGTCACTGTGCAATCTCAGGCTAGTTAATTCACCTCTCTGAGCCTCATCCTCCTTATGATGTAGGACCTAATCAGGATACACATTGAGGAATGGATACAGACTCCGGTCTGCATTAAATGCAGGATCATTGTGTTGGAATATTTGATGGTGAAGTTACCTTCCCAAAGGTCAATGAGGAAAAGAAGAATTTTCTTTCTTGTGTTTCTGAGTTTCCTTCAGTTCTTTGTGTGTGTGTGTGTGTGTGTGTGTGTGTGTGTGTGTGTGTGTATGTGTGTGTGTCTTCCAGTTCCAAGGAGGGTTTCGGGTCAGTGGAGAAGGTCGTGCTGCTCACGTTTCTTTCGGCAGTGATCCTGATGGCCATCCTGGGGAACCTGCTGGTGATGGTGGCTGTGTGCAGGGACAGACAGCTCAGGTGAGCGGCACAAGGTAACCCCTGGGGAAAACGTAGGTGGGGTTCCTGGTGGTCCCTGGGGAGTGAGGCCTGAGCATTTCATTATAATTTATAAACGTGAAGGAAAGGACGCACATGGGAGTGGTGTTGGGAAAATAGGAGAGGGAAGGGGTTACACCGAATCTTAGAAACCTAGCCTAACCAGTGTTTCCATCCTTTTTTCCTACGTCATGTTTGTGGGGAGTTTTGTTTGTTTGTTTAGTAGTTGCGATCAATGTATATACAAGTGGGAGCACAGCTAATCTAACCTCCCTATTTTTACCATGATTCAGGGAAGGGATGGCAGACTAGTGATTGATCTAGGCATTAAACCTGGTTTTCTGCTTTTTCTCTTTTATCAGTCTCAACTCTGGCTGCAATTTGAATCATCCATTTTTTAAAAGTATGGTATCAGTATGTCCCATACAATACTTGAGCATAATTATACTAATATATATATATATATACACACACACACACACACACACATATATATATATTATATATAATATATATATATATATACATATATACATATATACATATATATACATATATATATAGTTAAAATTCAAATTTAACCAGGTGTTCTATATTTTATCTGCCAATCTTTGTCAGAGGAGAGTATCAATCATCCAGGGTTCTTGAACAAATTGATCTGGAGTGAGATCTAGAGATCAGCATTTATAAAAATTCACGAGATTGATTCAAGTGTGTGATCTAGATTGAGAGAGCCGTTGCTAAATCAATGATGTCAGTAGATTGAGAGAGCCGTTGCTAAATCAATGATGATGTCAGAGAAGTTTCAAAGTGAAATTCTGAAAGGTTAAACAAACATGAGGCACACAGTAAACTGTCTAAGAGAGTGCGATGGTGGGATTTAGCTGCAATTTTGAGACGGTCACCTTGGCAGGGTTTCCTGAGAATGTCAACAAGGACTGAAGGGTAGGTGGGACTTGACTAGGCCAGTATTCAGAGAAGAGACCACCTGTGCAAAGGCCTGGAAAGAGAGCCATGTGCACAGGAGAGCTCGGATCATGCCAGGGTGGCTAAATGGGAGACGAAGAGAAAGCTTTTGGTGGAAAGAGGATCTGGAAAAGTCATAAGAGGCCTGACTATGCAGTCTTCTCAGCCATGTTAGAGATGGGGAAACTGAATCTCATAGAATATATTAAACATGTGGTTTTTCTTTCCCTTTTCTCCCTCCCTCCTTTCCTTCTTTTTATGTTTCCCTTTTGCCCTGTTTTCTTTCTTGTTATTTTCTCCCTTCTCTCCTCTCTTTGTCTTTCCCAATGTCTCCTTTCTTACACCTCTTCACTCACAGGAAAATCAAAACCAATTACTTCATTGTATCTCTTGCCTTTGCGGATCTGCTGGTTTCAGTGCTGGTAATGCCCTTTGGTGCCATTGAGCTGGTTCAAGACATCTGGATTTATGGAGAGATGTTTTGCCTCGTCCGGACATCTCTAGACGTTCTTCTTACAACAGCATCGATTTTTCACCTGTGCTGCATCTCCCTTGATAGGTAAGGACAGGGCAACATGCACAGTGGAGCTTAGTGCCAGAGAGAGGGACCTGATGGATTTTTCTTTCTCTGCTCATCCATTACATAAAATGAACCTCAGAGGGGCTGGCAGGTAGGATAGCGATTAAGGCACTAGACTCCCATGTGGCTGACTACGGTCTGAGTCTCAGACCTGACAGCTTGCTTTCTCACTTTCCCTCTGTCTTTCTCTGTACTTCTCTCTGGTGAATTAAAATAATTAATACTTTTTAAAAAAAAAAAATGAATCTCAGAGAAGTATTTTGTACATTTTATTATTATTTTATTATTATTTTGTGATTTAGTTACTCATTTGCTTTCCAGCCTTTGCAGAAGGCCCCTTTAAAATTGGGTACTCTCTAAGGTCCTGCAGTCTTTACAAAATTTAGTAAGACAGAACCTACCTACAAGGAGCCTACAGTTTAGAGAGCAATATGCATCCGCAATCAAGATTACTAGAGCCCTAAATTTTATACCGATGGCATGAGCAAACTTCTGAGGGTGGTAAGTGGCAAGAGTTAATGCAATCTGCCTACTGGGCAGCAGGGGCAGTTCAGAATGATGTTTTATATTTGAGCATGACCTTTTTCTGAAAGTATGTCTTTGTAATAATTTTATACACATGTTTAATTATGTGTATATGATTGTGGAGATTCTTTTCCAGAAAGTTAAAGGTGATAATACAATCCCCAGTAATTGCTTGGTCTGGCATTTCATTCCTGTTGTGTAATTTTTTTTAAAATTCATATTTGACTTCAGAATGCCTAATGATTTCCATCTTTGCCTCATTTGTTGAAGATACATGTTTATCACTTGTAACAACATTTTCTTAGTTTGCAATTCCTGCTCATTTGTATTCAATAATAAAGGTAGGATGCAATGTAAAAGTCAGGTGATTGTACAAACAAGTGCTACTGTCAATGTAGTCATGTAGTAGAGGTTAAGTCTCAAAAGGAATTGGGAGTCCAGTACAAATTATATGTTGCCAGAATTACCAGGGATAATCTTTTACTATCTCTTAAGCAGTCCAACAGACCTAAGTTTTTCTCAAGTCTTGGGATAGATCACTTCTTGAAATTGAGAACTAAGAAAAGTAGTTGAATAAAAACAAAGATTGTGTTGAGTCATCAGAAAAGTCATGACATAATTCCTATGTTTTTCTATGCAAAAATGCATCATGACTTGTCAGACGACCCAATAGTATATCTAAAATATTTACCTGTAAACACGTTAACTCACAGTCTTCTCAGGACAGAGTCCTTAGGGACAGAACCCAGCTGAAGCAACAGCGGGTTCCTCTCGCATTCGTGGCACATATGTTCATTGATTGAGATGGCAAGCATAATGGCCTGCTCCAGTTAAGTCACGCTTTCTCTTTGGCTCTGCCAAGAAGACACAATTAAATGTGCATACATTCAATGAATGTACAGTGGGACTCCACTGGAAAGCTAGGGATAATGACACTGGCAAAAATCCATCTTTTGGCCAACAGCCACATCCATTAATGTGTCAGTTTGAAGTTTGTGTTTCTTAGCTTGTTTATAACACTTTGTCTTTAATACAAGAAAGATTTTTTAAGGCAGTCAGTATATACTGTGTAATAGTTCACATTACAGAAAATAAAATGTATAGAAGTAGAAAATATATGGAAAACTTGCATGTGACCATTGCTAAAAGGAGGGGTAAGACTGAAAATAATATAGAAACTTGGAGAGACAAGGCCGGGGAGTGAGGGCAGCCAGAGGCATCATTAAAATCTGAGTAAGAGTGAGGGAAGAAGGCTAACCAACCAGGGAGTAAAGAATAGGAAAAAGTGTGGAGTTATCTGGTGTGTAGAGTGTACTCTGGGCAGCCCTGAGGGAAGGTTGGGAGGTTTCATAAGAAGGTTTAGCTCAACTTCCAGATTTAGCATATGATGTTTTGAAATCATGGTATTTCCCCATGCATCAGCCAGTAGTTATGAAGCAGTATGGGTTGATCATTAAAAAACATCTGCTGGACCAGCAGATGGTGTAATGGTTATATTCCTAGACTCTCACATAGTCAACTGTGGTTCAAGTCCTAGACCCAGTGGCTCGAAACTCCCGCCGGGCCCATGTGCGTATGTGCCCAAAATCCCAAGAGGAGACTGGAGGAGAAGGGATTGCGGTGTGACCATCCCCCAGGAGGTGATTTCTCACTTTCCGAGTTTCTGTCTCTCTCTGTCTATTCGGCAAGCAAACACACCTTATAGCAAAAATCTATCTTTAAAAAAAAAAAAAAAAAAAAAAAAAAAAGCCCAATAAACTACTTTAGGGACCAGCAAATATTGTAATGGTTACTTCACTGAACTCCCATATGACTGAGCTCAGTCCAAGTCCTGGTTTCAGAGACTTGAAACTCATGGTGGGAATATGTGCGTCCATGCCCAAAATCCCAAGGGGAGAATGGAGAAAGGATTGCAGCATGGCCATCCTTCTTAGGGGGTGATTTATTGCTTTCTGTCTCTCTGTTTCTCCAGTGAGCACATACACCCAATAGTAAAAATATCGCTGAAAAAAAAATCTGCTTTAGAACTAAAAAGATTTGGGGACCAGCAGTTAGTGTAATGGCTATGTCGCTGGACTCTCATGTAATCAACCATGATTCAAGTCCTAGACCCAGTAGTTTAAACTCATGCCAGCCACATGTGCATATGTGCCCAAGATCCCAAGAGGAGAATGGAAGAGAAGGGATTGCAACGGGGCCATCCCTCTGGGGAGTGATTGATTTCTCATTTTCTGTCTCCTTCTCTCTGTCTTTCTGGCAAGTGTACATGCCTTATAGCAAACAAAACAAAACAAAACAAAACAAAAACAAACAAACAAACAAACAAACAAAAAACCTCTCAAAAAAAAAAAAGATTTGAGTTCAAATTCCAGCTCTGCCAATTTTTAGACCAAAGACAAAATTACTAAATTGTTTTGAGTCTCAGTTTTCTTATCTCCTCAGAAAGGGAGCAAACCACCAGGTCCAGGACTCAAACCATGGTCAGCCATGTGGAAGTGTCTAGCACCTTAACCACCACACCACCTGCCGGTCACCAGAATAGAGCATCTATTTTTTAAGATTTCAATTAAGAATAATTAGGTAGTAGGCTTAAGGCAGAGCATTGGTCCATTTGGCACAGCACTCAATGTTAACAGGTGTTTTCATTTCAGTTTATTGTAACTATTCATATAACTCATGGTCTTTCTTACCAAACTTGGACCTCTTCCGCAAATAACTATTCCAGCACCTGCATTATTCAGAAACCAGGTAGTTATACTCAGTGTGGTTTTTCCTCATTTCCTGCATTTAAACAATGACAGGTTCTTTTTTTTTTTTTTTTTTTTTTTTTTTTTTTTTTTTTTTTTTTTTTTTTTTTTTTTTTTTTTTTTTTAGGTTTACTATTTATTTATTTATTTATCTTTTTTTTTTTACATTAATTCACTATACATCATTACAGTATACAAAATGAATTTTTCCATCCAAAATACACTATTGGCTCAATCAAGCACAACATACATGTTATCAACAAATAATTTTCCATTTCTTATGTCTTGTATATTTTTCTCTTTTTTTTCTTTTTGCCATCCTTGATTCCCTGTCCCTAACACTCTGCCCTGTCCAGCCCTCCTCCCACATTGTCTCTGGTATCCATGGTTGCTTTCTATGCCTTTCTCCCCCATTTTAATTGATTTGCTAATGAACTTAATTTATCTAAATATTTGCAATAGCAAGCATAGCTGATATATACATACACATGAAGCCATGTATGACTTTAGGCATAAACCTCAGTGAGTAGAATGAACATACCATAAAGTAGTACCTAGCTGGGGCTATATAGCTCACTGTGGTCATCAAATACGCATATTATTTTCAATTTCAATAACAGTTTTAGTGTGTTTTTATTTCTTCTGAAATTTTTTTTATTAATTTACATTCATTCCCTGAGCATCATCACAACATACTAAATGTGGTTTCCCAACAATGACAGGTTCTATTGATTTTCCTGCCTACATGGATCCTATCCTATTTCTCTTCATCTCTATCATCCTAGTCCAAACCAATATCATCTCTTGCATAAATCACTACAACAGCTTCCTACTTGTTCTCTCCAAATCTATTTTATTCCTGTTCAGCTTACTCATAAGAGCAGATCGCTATCTTTTAAAAATGCAGTTTTGAAAGCCAGGTATACCAGCTACCTGGGAGGCAGATGTAAGAGGATTGCAAGCTGGCAGTCAGACTGGGAGGGTGAGACCTTGTGTGGAAGAGCTGGGTGCAGCGACACTTCCTGTCATCCCAATGACTGTAGGAGATTTGCAACATAGCAAGACCATGTTTTAAAAAAACAAACGTGCCTTAGACTTTTTTTTGTTCTTTGCTTTAAATTCTTCAATAGCTATTTATTGCACTAAGGATCAAGACCAAACTCCTTGTCCTATAGGGTCTTGCATGGTTTATTCCCTGCCATCTCTTAATCTTAAGTCATGCTCCTTAAGAGCCTTACTCTCTAGGGTCCAGCTGCTTTGACCTTCTTTCTCTTTATTCCTGTGATTTGTGCTCAGCCACCTGAGAATCTTGGCTCCTTCCTCTGCCTGGAAAGTTCCCTTGCCCTCTCCTCTTTTATAATATGTGTCTTTCAGATTTTAGATCAATTATTTTCTTCCAGAGGTCCCCTCTGACTCACTCTGTCAAACCCATTCTTTACAAAAGTTAGTACAATTGCTTTTAAAATAAATGCTATAACTTTTCAATGTCTCTTATACCCCCAGTGGTAGGAAACTCAAAGGCTATGAACCCCGCCAGATCCCTTCCCTCAAGGAATGTGCATTTGAATGGAGCGGTTGACAACTGACCAGTAATTATATAAGTACTTATGTAGGTGTTCAGTAAACACTATTTAACGGAATGGAGTGAATGGAGTTATAAACTCATTCTCTGTATGAATAGAGTTCCCAATAATTCCAAATCTTTCT